CTCTCTACAATCCTCTCTCTCTAGATTTATCTTTGTCTCTTGAACTTTTGTGCATACAAGTAAAGATATACTTCTAGTTTGCTTGTAAAGCTTTTATGCCTTTATTCATCGCTTTAAATCAACTTTTTTGGACCTTTTAACCACTGAATTTCAGAGGCTTTTCAGTGGCAAAACCTTATTTTGAAGTCTAAATTTGGAGGGGTTAACCTCCCCTCCTCATGTCTTGTTTGCATGCCTAGTTAGCTTCACATGTTGGCATATTTTTCTAGCTTAACTTAGCTCAAGTCCAGCATATTTTTGCTTCTAAAATAACCTGTTTTAGCTCTGTTTTGGGCTGGTTAGCTTGTTTGAGTCTTGTTTTACATAGTTGTAGTGTTAATTCCTTCACTAGTTTAGTGTTTTAAGGCATTAACCATCATTGGTGTGAATTGATTGCATGTTTTTAGTGTTTTAATCACTCAATTTCAGCGCATATAATCTCGGCAACCTCCCTCATTTTTTGCTTTTGCATTTGTTTTGAGGGTTGTTTCAACCTTAGGGTTGTCTAAGCTTGAGGTTGAGGCTCATGCTTAATAGTTTAATCCTCCTTTGAGGGTTCATTACAACGGTGTGAAGCTTCCCTCATGCCTTGAACTACCTCTTGGTTGACACTTCTTTCACTTTAGAAGACACTCACCAATGGACTAATTGATTAAAGGATGGTTTGGTAACTAAAATGAGTAAACAAAAATGACAAGTAAAAAAAGGCAAGATAAGCATCTTTTGTGTTACATTGCATATTTTCAAATCGAACGTTAGTTTGAACATAAGGAAAATTAGACATTTCATACTCAAAAGTGATGAAATGTGCCATTTTCCTTAGTCACCATTGCCCTTCATCATGCATGATAGGATGATGGTCCTTTGGTCTCATTTTGCATTTATTGAACTTGCACGAAATTGCTTGATTGATGGTTTATAAACCCAAATTTTGTCCCTCCTTTGATTTCCCCATGAAAATGAGAGGCAAAGTGTGTAAATAATCTATGAGAATACATTGTTTTGCTCTGCCTGCTCTCTGTTGCAGGAAAAAGAAGAGCTCATGTCATCAGTGGCCGACCGGCCACCACTAGCAGCCGACCGGCCACCATTGGTAGCCAACAAGCCCCCTGTCGGCCACCAATGAAATTTGCACAGTGTGTTCTTGAGGTGGGGCAGAGGTGTTCTGGAAGTTAGCAGAATTTTCAGTGATCAAATGTGCAAATAGAGGCTTGTAGAAGCAAGACAGTGGCTTTTTTGGGTGAAAGATCAAGCATGCATGCATTTCTCGCTTCCCGGGATTAGCTAGCCCCCTATCGGCCACCAATGAAATTTGCACAGTGTGTTCTTGAGGTGGAGCAGAGGTGTTCTGGAAGTTGGCCGAATTTTCAGTGATCAAATGTGCAAACAGAGGCTTGCAGCAGCAAGGCAGTGGATTTTTCAGGTGAAAGATCAAGCATGCATGCATTCCTCGCTTCCCGGGATTAGCTGGTTAGTTTAATTAGCATCAGATTAAACATGTGTTGTAATTAATTAGTTATATCTAATTAATTGTTTTCAATAATTAGTTAGTTTAACTAGTTATTCGTTTTTGGTTTGTAATAATTAATTAGCTAGAAGTAGTTAATTAGTTTCGGTTTGTAATAGTTAGCTTAATTAGCGTAGCTAGTTGGTTAGCTTATCGATTCGGACCCTCTTTCACGAGGGCATAATGTTGTGTTAAGTGTGCATGCGTGTGTGTATGTCTTCCAACCCCACGTCTTTCTCCCTTTTATTTACCCGCTTTTAATGGTTAGATTAGGGGCATGTTTTAATTAGCATATCACATGCTTGCATCCACTCATTCGTATTGCATGTACCGAGGCTCAGCGCATCATTCAAACTGCATTGTCATTTCAATATCTTCTTTAAATACGTGTTTAATCGCATGTTATCAAATTGCTTCATATGCTATATTAGTAGTCGAGTCTATTAATTGCATATTGCATGTATTGCATTAGGCATCTTGCATAGTTAGGATCATACATCTTTCTAATTAGTTTTTGTTTTGGCTTGGAGTACTTGGTGAGTTTTACGCTTTAACATACTTGTATGAGTGTGATTGCCATGTTGCCATGTTTAGCATGCTCACCATGACGCTATGTGCTTATATGCTAAACTACATGAATGCCTGTAGATGAAGGCTTGTTGTTTGAATTGGAACAATTCAACGAATGTGCGTTTTAAGCCCACTTTGTTGAGTGGCAAATCATGTTTTAAGCCCACTATGCTTGGTAGCAAATCCACAATCTTTAAGCCCACTTGAGGGTGGCAAATTCAAACCATTTTCGCAAACAAACATGAGTTGAGTTGTTCCAAGTCTTGCAAACTAGTCTATATTTGCTTGTGCGCGTTACATAGTAAAGCTAGCTTAATAACTAGAATAAGAACGCATAGTATTTATAAAAAATTATATCATGATTAGTAGAGGCCGATCTTTGATCGGGCGAGGGGGGGTGCTCAATTCATGACCTTCCCCTCTCGTACCCAAGTTCCCGAACCGAGAAAACTTTGGTGATGACGGACACGTGGCCTTCGGCACGAGTTAGGGTTTCCTAAATTTTCCCAAAAACAAAATATTTAGGTAGCGACTCTGTATCTGGCAAAACAGTCCAATTTTGGCATTATTTGATTTAAAATCGGTTTTCCAAAAAGGTTTGCCGGATTTGGACTCTTTTGTGTTTATCAGTTTCACATTGCACTTGTGAAACTAGATTCAGAACCGTGGGAGTTCGAACTGTAAGGCCTTCTTTTCAAACCTTTCCAAAAGGCGGGGTGCAAAAAAAGGCGAGTCCACACTTATCCAAAAGCCACATGAGGACAAAATATTCCTGAGGGCGTGATACGAAGCATAGTTGAAGAAATGGAAATATGCATGTTCGAGAAATTCAAAATTCCCCATACATGCACGGGGCAAAATATAAAAGGGGTTAACTTGAACCTATTAAATTAATTAGGCCCAATCAAAGCCCAATCAAGCCTAATAATTGGTGAGCTTGGAGAAATTATTGCCAAATAGGCCAAGTGAATTCTATTGAACAGGCCCACAAGAAAGCCAACAGATTGGGCCAAGGAAGATCCATCAAGCAGATATCTCTAAAGAGAGTTCCACAAGCCCATTCGATGAGGCCCAGATCATACGAGTGTCTGAGAAGGTTAACTGTTGCTTTCAGAAGCGATGAAACTCTCGAAGGAGATCCATTCTCCGAGGTATTTTCTTAGTTTTGAAAAGGTTCGGAACCACAAACCTAGAGACCTATTTGAGTTCGGACTCGAAAGGGTTTGGATCCACAAACCTAAAGATCCAAATCACTTGGCTTCGAACGGATTCGGATGGAATCTAGAAGCCGCTCCATTAATGAGTCCTAAAACACTTGCGGACTCGGAGTTTTCCAAGATCTATGCACCAGAACCATGGGTGTAATGGAGTCCGAACAAAGGACCCTATCCCGAGGACGATGAGTGGAGATAAATTCACTCTTTGGTTAAACTAGCCTATACCCGGGTCAAGATGGCACGATCTAGGAGGTCCTTGAGACTCGGTAATATTTGTGGCAGGGTGTTCTCTTGAACTACCCCTGACCCTTCTACGGCAGGGCGTCCACTGGGACTACCCCTGACCCTTTGGGATGATAGGGGATCATTGGTTAGGTGTGGCTAAGAAGAAGGGTTCGCCGAGATGTTGATCTCCTCTGCAGGGTTTTCCTTATCCTTAGAGAGGTCACCTCCTCGAACAAGAGGGAATATTTCCCATGTGTCTTGCACATGGGCTCTATCCTACATCACGAGGTACCTATAAATAGCATCCACACATAGCTTTACAAGGAATGGATTTTAGAGAGACAACTCTTGAAAAAGAACTAATTTTCCTTCTCCATTATCTACCTTGAGAGTGAAAGTGGGAGATCCATGGGAGAGCCTTGCCATTATTCTCTCTCTAACTACTTTGTCTTTTTCTTCACCCAATATCTTATCGCCATCATCTCTTTACTATTGTGTTCTTAGCTGTGACTATTAAAGAATCTAAGCCTCTTATCATTTCTAGAAAATTCAAGTTTTCTTCAAAGATCTTCAAAGATGTTCGAATTTTCCAATAACATTCTTGAATCCTTTCATACAATACTAGTTAAAGTATGAAAAATATATGCTCTTGATTTTATCTAACTAATTTTTGTATCGGTGTGTTTTAACACTACTCTTTATTTTACATATTTATTCATACAAAATAGTTTAAAAGAGCTTCTCAATACTCTCAAAATGTAACTAACGTGCAAGAGTCTTGTTAAAATAATTATTATACTAGCTAGTCTGTTAGAGTAAGTAAAATAATATGAAATTAGTTATAATATCACAGGCCTCGTTTTGATAATCCAAACCATTCATTTTGTCGAACACTTTGTATATTTCATCCACACAAAAAATTAGATCGATCCAATAATTGTAACTTACTCAATTTATCGCATTTTTAATCAAAAAAATATATGATATATTTTTTAAAACACAAATTTTTTTGTTAAAAATTGGATAAGTTGATTAAGTTACAATTATCGATCGACTTAATTTTTTATGTGAATGAAATAAATAAAGTGTCGGACAAAATGCACGATTCATATCATCAAAACAGGACCCGTTGTGAGTCTCACGGACCCGAATAGCGCCCTCTAGTAGACTAGAGGGGATTCTCCTCCCTTTTAAAAAGCCCATTGGATATGCTTGTTATGACATAGTGGTGTTAACTATGATTTGATTATGATTCGTTATAATATTAGTTATAACATTATTTTAGTTATAATTTAGAAATGTCTTATAATTATACCTTAGATAGTGTTTGGTTATGGCTCTTTTTTTTTTTAATATTTTAATTATGATCGAAAAAAATCTAGTAACACAAATATCATAATTTCTATATGATATACAATTCATAGCATGACCCTTAGATCCGAGAAGATTGAAAGTGAGAAAAATAAATAAGAAGGATACAAAAGATATACATAATTTAGAATTCTACAATTTTATTGTTTCTTACATTACATTAAACTATTTGCTTCTAGTGCCAAATGCTATTACTATTCTTCCCATCGCGGCGTGCTGGTCTAATGTTGATCATCTTGAGTTCTGATTTTATGGCTCAAAATGAAACCTTCCATTTTTGACTCTTCAACTTCAATTTTACTCCAAGTTAAGCATTCCTTGACCCCCAACCTTCTCACTTCTTTGTCTGCATAAACATTTAGTAATAGCATATTAGTTATTTTCATGAATATTTCTTTCAAACAGTCTATTCTTACACAATCTTATACAAAATTCATGACCCAATGATGAGATTGTGTGAAACTTATTCTGGGTGTGGTGGAAATCACATTCAGAACAAATATGAGCCAGACAAGAAACTTTTTTATATGCGTTTATTTGATTTTTGTATATGCCCATGGCACTACTAGCTCGACAATGATACAACTCATGAGCATACAAACAGAGGAACAATTTGTCCACATGTTTTATTTGACTAAATTGATGTTTTTGGTCCCAAGAGTGAATTCACATGGAAATTTAAGCCCTCACAAGACACACCATCAATATGCCATGAGCAGTCATATTCATCTCACAAAGAGACAGTAAAAATTTACCTGTGAATAGAGAAAAGTTCCAAAGATTGCAATGGCAGCTCCAAGAGCATTGATCGGTTGCAGAGGCGTTTGGAAGACGATGATTGAAGCGACTATGACAGAAATCCTCTTCATGGTGTTGCCAATGCTAAATGTCAAGGGAGATATCTCATTGAGGGACATATATGAGACTTGGTTGTACAGGTGATAAAAGACACTCTGTGCCACCACCCACCTATAATACACAATTCAGAACCACAAGTTAAAAAGATTATTTCACTATGATGCCAAAGGTAAAAAGATAATTTTCAAATTCTGTCCATGTAGACTTCTTTTCTGTTCTTACCATATGAAATTTGGTCCAATTTGGGCGATAGCTTTGTCCCAGCCTACAGCCCACATCTGTGGACCCTCCACAGCAATTGCAAATGGGGTGAGAATCAAAAGAGACATCATGGACAAACAAGCATAGTAATTCATCCCACCAACAGACTTCCCCTTCATCCCTCTCTTCGAGAATATGTTCCGAAACACAAATGCCAAATTCGATATCATTGCCCCCATAAACCCTGTCATTATAGAAAAATGTTTCAAGATCAATAAAAACCGACTCAAATCATAATTCACAATTGAGAAAGCATATGATAATTTTTTGTTTCTCACCTGTCAAGTTAAAATTAAGCTCAGTGACAGCAGCAAGAGCACAGCCACCGATAATTGGCACGAGCGATAGGTAAACTGGCACCGGAAAAGCCTCACCCAAAAGAAATCTAGAGACCAGAACACTGAATGCGGGCTCACCACTCTTGATGATGTGAGTGAATGAAACTGCAACCTTTGACATGCTCACTGTCGCCGCCACATGTCCAATTGTATGTGCCACAGCTACCTACAAAACAACAACACTGATGAATATATGAAAAACCAAATGAACCAATTTTTAAAAATCTGAAAACCCATCCTCTCTGCTTACAGGAAACAGAGCTTTCCAAAAGTTGAGATCGGTCTCTGGCGCTTTGGCGATCTTCGTAGCCCAAGAAACAAGCATCATGAGAGACCCGGTTGCAAGGGAGAGAGTTGAAGTGAGCCATGGGAATGGAAAGGCATTGAGGACCTTCTTGTTGTATATATTGAAGATCACATTTAAAGCCCACCATGTTGCAAAGTAGACACCAATTTTAAGCTTCTGAGCTGCAACTTCTCGAGTGTGTTCATCTAATTCAATGTTGATCTGTATTGGTTGCACATGATGGGCTTCGTAGGCCTTGCAGGGAACTAATGAGTCTCGTGGTTTTGTATTATTTGATTCATCAAAGTTTTTGAAACCTGGCAGAGACGACAATATGTGGAGAGGTTTTGGGGCTAAAAGATTGGTTATGGCTAGCTTTTTATCAAAATTTGAGGGAAATGTTGGGAGGTTTTGAGGTTTTGAAGCTAAGGATTGTGGTTGGAAGTGATTGGAATGTGTGAAAATTGCATGGGATTGCTTTGCAGAGCAAGCCATGGTGTTGAATGTGAAGTTAATATTAGAATAACAATAAGGTGACAAAGAAATAGTATTGGAATAATGTAGTCTAGTGCTAGTTCTTATATTAGATTGATATAAATCTCTCATATATATATATAGCATTTGTTGGAGTGGTGGGCTTGCAAGTTAGACTGGCCTCGGAAGCAAGTGAAGTTTCGTTGAACTGTCCTGCGGCCTGTAAACGAACCGCGTAGGGCAAGACAAACACCAAGGATCCTCTAGAGTGAAATTTCTCTAAAGTTTCCTAGAGTACTACATTGTGTGGTTGAGATTTACTGGCAAGTCACATCAGAAAAATTAATGTGATTTGCCAGTAAATCTCAACCACACAATGTAACACTTTAGGAAACTTTAGGAAAAAATCACTCTAGAGGATCCTTGCTCCAAGACAAATGTCACTCTCTCATTGAGTTCCACTTCAAGTTGTTCTTATATTTTCAGGGTGTGAATTATGTGTGTGTATTTTTTTTATTTTTATTTTTTTTTGTTCTTTTTGAACAAATTAGATTTGGACTTTTCCATGTATTTATTTATTTTTTGGGGGATTTAATTTAAGAATCCTATTCACACAATAAAAGTATCTGAAATATTTTACATTAGTGCCGTTTGATAACACTTACGTTTTCAGATTTCTGTTTATATGTACAAAAATTTTAAAAACTCAAATAAAAATTTGTTTGGTAAATTTTTGATTTATAAATCAGTGGTCTCAGTTTATAAATTTTCACAATGGAGTACTTGGGTTTTTAAATTACTTTCATATTGTTGCTCTGTAAAATATTCTCACTCTCTCTATGGGAGTTTGCATTTTAAGATTAGTATCCAGAGTTTGGTAATGAGGTGCGGTGTTGAAGAGAATGAAAGAGTAGAGAAAAAATGTAAGATGTTTTACCAAAGGTCCCTCACCATGCTGTTTTGTTTCAAAACAAAAACAGGACAAATTGAATCTCATAACAATAGTGCATTGTCCAAGTTTTGTACCAATATAAAAACCTCAAATATCAAATGTCACATTCACAATGAAAGGCATTATTTATCAACCAAAAAAAAAAAAAAAATCACACAAAGGCATTATTGTTGTTTCTGGTGCATTCTAAATACTTTTGAGTTTGCTAAATACTTTTGAAATACTGATATGAAGTTTTTTTTATATTTATTGGGTTTTTTTTGTGTTTTTCTATTGTTTTTTCTTTCTTTCTTTGGGAGTGAGGATTGGTAAGCTGTGATAAATTTTGTTTTTGTTGTGGCAAGGTGTTGGTTGGATATTTTGCTTATGGTCATGTATTGCTTAACAAATATTCCAATTTTATTTAGAATTTTCAGAAGTATTCAGAATTTTCAGTTCAAGCTTGGAAGCAAAATGAATCTGAATGGGTGATTTGGGTTTTCGGACAAAGTACCCACCACCTGCCACCACCCACCGTCACCACTTTCCACCACTGTCTTCCGCCGCCACTAGCCACCACTTGTCATTTCTCACTCTTTTTTATATTTTTAAATTTTTTTAAACATTTTGTCAATTACCAAAACGCGTTTGTAGTTAATGTTTTTTTAAAAATAAACAAAAACCAGTTTATAAAATTTTTGAAAATATAAACTGAAAACGTAAACGTTACCAAACAGACCCATTGTGTTTGGTTAGGGGATCTGGAAAAAGAAAGGAAAAGAGAAAAGTTAAGTAAATTCTGAATAAAATATACCTACATTTCACCTAATTTCACACTTTTTTCATTTCATTTTTCAAATTTCAAATTTCTCTCCAAATCTTCCAACCAAACACAGTGTTAGAATTTTTCTTTTGGTGAAAGGATTATTTCCAAGTTCTTGAATAAATAATAAGAAAAATCATTCAATATTCCCGAAATATAATGCGGCTTTACTTATGTAGTAATCCCAATCAATGACATATAGCAATACACACTAAGTGGGTCACTATGTTGCTATGTTCCCACTCTTAAGATTTTTTTGTCAAGTAATTGATTTAGAGTATCACGTGAACAATATAATATGATATTGTGAGATTACTAAATTGTCATTTCAATTTTAGAAGATGTTATAAATGGGAGATAAAATCATTATGGGGACTCAACTTGGCTAATGTAGACGGAGCAAAGCATGTGGTGCAATAGAATACGTGTGTTGTGTGTTATGCGATGGTCAAATTATAGTCAAGGAAATTATATGATGATGAAATGAAATGATATTATTATATGGTTATTAAATTAATTTAATTTTTTATTTTATGAAAAATTCATTTAGAGAAACTATAAGAGAAACAATTTAAATTATTAAAGTAAAATCTGTTACCAGACTCAATTGGAAACAAAGCTCTCACTTGAACAAAAATCCAAATGTGTACAGTAGAGCATGTGCATTGCATATTAACGGTGAGAATGGTGGCACCAGTTCTCAATCATTCGGAAGAAGGGCTGGTTGCTCGCTCGTTCATGTCATTTTCAACTAGTTGTTCTTACAATTTTAGTGCTTTCCACATTTGTCAACTTATAAACCACGTGTCAAATACATCGGTTAGACTGGTTTTAAAATTATTTGTCGACATATGGTCATTCTCATGAACAGTCACGTGATCGTTTGTTTGGTTTTGCTAAATAGTTGGTACCTTCTCCCCTGGAAATTATACTAAAACAATCTGTGAACTTGTGGTTTTGAATTGTACTCATAGTTAGGTTGTGTGGTCCAGAATGTTGTCTATGGTCACCTACCTCTCCATTTCAAGTTTCAAACACTAACAACGTGGCTCTATTATAACTGTGTTTGATTGGAGAATTTAAAAAAAAATTTAGAAAGGAAAAGAAAAAAATAAGTAAAATATAAATAAAATATACATATATTTTACCTAATTTCATACTTTTTTTTTTTTCTAAATTCCTTTCTAAATATTCCAACCAAACACAACATGAGGGAAGGCAACATCACCGCCTCCTTGACTCTCAAATTCAATCTAAAAAATTAGTCTTTAAATAATTTTAGTTTATTAAATAAAGTTAATAAAATAATTATTTCATCATAATATCTATTCTTATATTTAATTTATTAAAATAATAATAATAAATTTATTACAAATAGAAATAGTCATTTTATAGAGGAATTAGGAATTGATTGTTTCATTTTACTAATCAATTTCATTTAAGTAAATCAAACATTATATTATAATATTAATAGTTTAAAATAATTTTACCAATAAAATTTTAAAAATAATTAAAGTAGTGTATTATTTAAAAATAATAGATGGTTATTTTTTAAATGTATGGATTGTTTATAGAATATTATTGACTATACCAATTACAATTTTTTTATTCAATCAATTACGTTATAAAAAATTTGAATAAATTAATAATGTTATAAATTGAATATGTCCAAAATCTATCTCAATAATTATAATTTACGCCTATTTTTAAGGGTAAATTACATTTACCTCCCCTGAGGTTTTTGGGAAATACAGGGACAACTCTTGTGATTTGAATAATTACAGTAACCTCCCCTACTTTATCTAACAATGTCAAGATTCCCCCTTCTATCAAATTGTTCCAAATGGTGTTACTTTTTCTATAATAAATTACCTTATTGCTCTTCCTTTTAAAATATTAAAAAATATTTTTACATTGGAGGACATGTTTGGAAGAAACAAACAGTGTTTGGAACAGTATTTTTGGATTTATTTTTTTTAAATATTAAAAAATTTTTAAAAAAATTATTTTTTTATTTTAAATATATAATTTTTATTTAAATATTTTTAAATATTTTTATTTTATTTGGTAAATATTTTAATTTTTTTACCCAAACCCGGCCCTATGGGTTTAGCACCGTAACCGGCCAGTAATCCGAGATTACCGAAGGCCTGCAGAACAGTAGTACAGTAAAACAGAGTACAGGGCCTGGCGGAAGCCAATACAGTAAATAAACAATGCCCAATGAGCTGTGACAGTCTGTATGCAAAAAGACTTTTCATACATTTATACGTAAACAGAACAGTATGCACAATAGATATAACCATTCAGACTAGGGACTTCATCCCTTACAAAACAGTACAGTAACCATTCAGTCTATACAGAACAGTGAGACAGTACAGAAGGGGGAAATCTAAAACACCCCTAAGCCTTAACAGATAGGCTCAGAACCTCGCAGTGAGGCACGAAGGCTGGCTTGACAAAACTGGAGTCTAACCCACACTCCTAGCTCCGATCCGGTGGCTGAGCACCTATATATATATATAAACAGTGAGCTAAAGCCCAGTGAATAACATAATGCGTAAAGAGGTTATGAATGAAATGTCCTTTCAGTAATGAAATCAGTTCATTAAACAATACTTCAATCTTTCAATCAGAACAGTTATTCAGTCATATGTGGTACATCCATTAGCATAGCAGTAAACAGTAGGTCGTGAAGACCGAACAGTAATGATGGCCATCAATTAGTAAACAGTAGTGGTTCCACGAGGGAACCGACAGAGATCTCTGTAACAGTAGCAGTAACAGTAAACAGTAGTGCTAAGGATGCCACAATACAGTTCAGAATATAGGACGTACATTCATTCTATTAACAGTAATCAGTTCAGAAAACAGTACAGTTCAGTTGTTCAGAAGATATTCGTTTGTGAACATATCTTTACACAATCGTTACTCACAGAGTTTGGGCTACAGTATGCTAGAGCGTGCCTCCCCAGTCGCCAACCCTACACAGGTAACAGATTGAACACACTAAGCTACACAGCTGGGAAAGATAACAACTTAATCCCTAATGCCTCGGTGTGTTCTACATCTATATCCTCAACAAGATGTCTTAAACTAGGCCTAAGAACGCCTAGAATGGGATGAGGATGCAAAGATGCACATTTAAAAGCATTTTCAGAAAAACAGAGTCCTGCTCGAGCGCAAGCTTCGCCGCTCGAGCGGTCATGCAACAAAGGTACACGCTCGAGCGTAAACTTTCCCGCTCGAGCGTACTGTAAAACTACTGGATGGGTGAAATCTCCGCTCGACGCCCGCTCGAGCTTGAGACATAACTCCGCTCGAGCCCCCAGTCCTCCGCTCGAGCGGACTGTGAAACAGTGCAGAGAG